CCCACCCAAATACCATGCCCTCCCTCCCCGTTTCATGGCAGCTGAAGCAACAGCAAAGCAGAAGCTGACACAGGTGCTCAGTTCGCCCTGGGTGTCCTTGCTGCCAGACTTAGCGGAGTTCGCGGATGTCTTCAGCAAGCAGGAGGTGGACCAAATGCCGCCGCACTGGCCTTATGACTGCCTCATTGACTTGGTACCAGATGCGAAGCTCCCCGTGGGTCCCCTGTACTCCATGTCTGACCTGAAGTTGGCCGCATTGCGGGACTTTCTGGACAAGAACCTTGCCTGGGGTTTTATCCGGCCCTCATCTTCGCCACTGTCTGCCCCTGTCTTGTTCGTCAAAAAGAAGACTGGGGTTCTGGGACTCTGTTGTGATTATCGTCGCTTGAATGCCATTACAGTGCGCAACCGTTACCTGCTGCCCCTGATTCCTGAGTTGTTGGAGCGGCTCCGGGAGGCGACGGTGTTCACGAAACTAGACTTGCATGGCGCTTATAACCTGGTCCGAGTCTGGGCGGGGGATGAATGGAAGATGGCCTTTGGCACCCAGTACGGACATTTTGAGTACACAGTCATGCTGTGGACCAATGCCCCGGTAGTCTTCCAGCACTTTATGAATGATATCTTCTGGGACCTCTTGGATCAGTTTGTCGTAATTTATCTGGACAACATTTTGATTTACTCGACTTCTCAGAAGGATCATCATCAGCACCTACGCCTGGTCCTGCAACGACTCCGGGAGCATTGTTTGTTTACAAAGTTGGAGAAGTTTCAGTTCTGGCAGACTACCATTGAGTTCCTGGGGCACTGTATCTCCCCTGAAGGAATTATGATGGAGCCGGGCAAGGTAGAGACGTTGTGCATTTGGCAACCTCCTTGGTGAGTGAAAGATGTCCAGCGACTCCTCGGATTTGCCAACTACTACCGGACCTTCATCCCCAGCTTCGCTTTCCTGACCGTGCCCCTCACTTGGCTCTTGCCCCTCACTTGGCTCCTGCAGAAGAAAGTGCCATTTCGCTGGGGGCCCACGGAACAACAACAAGGCCCTGAAGCACGCCTTCATGAAGGAGCCGATCCTGAAGCACCCTGATCCCCATCGTTCATTTGTGGTGGAGGCGGACGTGTCTGACATCGCGGTGGTGATTTGCAGGTTGGTGGGGGGTGTCAGAATAGCTTAGCATAATGTGTACTTTGAGTATCCATTTTGTCTACAGGTGATCAGTTCTTTACATTCATATTGGTAAAGTATTATGTTTGTACATGGTATGCAGTTTAGGATGAAACATTTCTGAAAGTTTGAAAGAAAAAGTAATCTTTAATGTTTGCTGCACTCCCACATCAATATGGTGCTTAGGAGTTAAATATACTTAGATATTTAATTTCTGTTAGATTTGTATTGCCTTCTTATAAATATTTTAACACTGTTTAACAATATCAATAATTGTTCCTGTGTTTTCTTAATTGTTAGATTGCCCAGTTTCAGGAAAAACACAGAAGACATTTATTAACACATTACAAAGAAAAGGTACTTTGGATTCATGTTGAATTGAATACTGTAGTATACTGAATCTTGATGAAGTCACATTCCTGGTGTGATATGTATAAAAAAAATATACTGGATCAAGTAATGTACTGTACTAAGTTTTTTGGTACCTTATCTAGCAGTTAAAATATTTTGCCTGAGTACTGATTCCTTAGTCTGGAATATTTCCATTAAACAATTGTTGACCATTAAACAACCAAGTTTTATAAATGACAAGAAATAATACAGAATTTAAATTACTGAAATAGATTATTCCATTCAGATTGCAAAACTGGAAACATATCTTAAGAGAGCATCACAACAAATCCAGCATATACAACAATTGCAACAGTGAGTATTTTAATTATTAATATTATTGAATTTTGAATAGTTTCAAAGACATTTTGTATTTTTAAATAAGAATAATCCATTATAATAATTTATTTTCCATGAATAGTAACTTTTACTTGAAAACATACACCTGGACATTAGGAAAAATCATGATTAAGAAAAATAGCATGTTGTCTTATATTATCATGGAATCAATTATTCCATTATTTGAAATTTAAAATGGGTATGTATGTATTTGTGTATATAATATTTATAACATATAAACTTTAAATTTTTTTTAAATATTTGACCCAAGCTTAATATTTTTACCTTATTCAATTATTTAAATATTCAACATATTTTATCAGTCGGAATTCATCAAAGGAGGTAGAAGTGCCACCTTCAGTAAGGAAAGTAAGTTTTTTCTTTCTTCTTTATATACCAAGATACAAATAGTTCCAGTTATCATTCTACTGTTAAATGTTAGATGAGCTTTGTGGAAAACATTCTCTGTTATTTAGGATACTTCTTATCTTTACTTCTTAAAGGCACACATGCTGAGGTGATCACTAATTGTTTGAAAAGCAATGATGCTCAAATTACATATGAAGTATAAGATGAGACTATAAAATTGACAGCTATTGCATTTTATTTTTGTCTATAATCTGTTGCTTGAATTTAACTAAAAAACTAGTATTTGGCAACTGCTGCAATTGAAGTGAGTGTATCAGTGGTGGGTTGCAAATCCCATTCCAACCCCGTAAGGTTGGAACGGGGCCGGCAGCATCCTCATGGATGCGCGCAGTGCATGCATGTGTTCAAGTGCCTCTGTGACGCTCTAGCTGCTCCGCGGAGCATCGAGCAGGCGTTGTACACACAATGTGCCTGCGCGGAAGGGCAAAAGCCTTTAAACTCTGGTAAGGAGTTGGGCAGGCGGGTGGGCCCTCCGGAGCACCATACCAGAACGGTATCCAGTGCTTTGGGCTGGCTCCGGTACGCATGTACCGGGGCGTATCGCCTGCAGCCCACCACTGGAGTGTATGATTCATTCTGATCTGTTCCCTCATATTTAGTTTAAAAAATTGCCTACATTAAATGATTTCAAGGAAAGAAGCTTGCAAGTAATGGTTTCCTATTTTTATCTGCAAACTGGGAAAGTTTCAGCTGATAGCCTTTGACATATGTATGTCAAAGACATGGTATGTATACATATCATGCTATTTTGTTTGGGGGTAAACGGTATTGCACAAAATACGGAGAAGTTGTAAGGGTAAGCCAAAAAAACAGAGGCTCAAGAAGGAGAAAAAGTGTAATTAAAGTTTATTTAACTGATCCTTGTTTAGCAGACTGAATTCAAAGGATCCAGCTTTTGCTGGATATCTCTGGAATGATGGGCATCCAAAATAGTTCAGATGAGGCTATTAAATTTATTTTACCTGTTTTTGAGGCTCTCATTTACTCCTACTGATCATGATTTTTTCAGTGTTTGCAAATGTTGCAGTGTTCAGGTAGTCCTTGTCTTACAACAGTTCATTTAGTGACCATTCAAAGTTACACAAGCACTGAAAAAAGAGACCTATGACCGTTTTTCACACTTATCACCATTGCGGCATCCCCATGGTGATCAAACTTCAGACACTTGGCAACTGATTCATATTTATGACAGTCGGGTGATCCCCTTTTACAACCTTCTGACAAGCAAAGTCAATGGGGAAGCCAGATTCAGTTACAGCTATTAAGGTTCATTGAAGGGCTGTGGGGAGAAAGGTAGTAAAATGAGGCAAAATTCATTTAACAACTATCTCACTTAGCAAATTTTGGGCTCAATTGTGGTCATAAGTCAAGGACTACTTGTATACAAAAGCACACATGCACTGACTTTCTCCCCTCCCCCCTCCTCTTACTTTCTAATTTGTAATCTTCCATATGTCAAGGACACCATCAGATGGAGCCAATGATACTAATTCTTCCAACTATCAAGGCTTTAGTCAGTTTAGGCGTTCACATACAGCTTTAGGTTTTAGCAGTATAGAGAAAGTACCTTGCAAACCTATATTTTGTTGCCTGCAGTCCACCAAGGAGGAGACATGCAGCATACAAAATGTTTAGACTGACTGTTTCAGATTCTTGCTAGAAGATATTTATAACAGAGGGAGAAAATAATTTATTGTTGAGCCCATTAAAAACCCAGCTCTGTTCTTGTGATTTATCATAGGCTGAACCAAAAATTCTTTTAAGTAATAGAACCTAGTAATAATTCTTCTTAAAAAAGCAGTGCCTTAAAAGTCCTAAGTTCAGTAGCAAGGAAGCAAAAATACTTAATAAAATGAAATAATTACTTATACTATGTTTTTTGTTTATTATATTGTAAACATACAATATAATGTATTGTATTGAATTATACATAGACTGAAACAGTAGCTGGCCCAACCAGAATATCACTGATAAATCCACCGCAAAATGGATATATGGGTAAGAGTAAATATTGTTTATTTGTTAATATATACCTTATGTTTGGGTTTAGCATTTCATAAAAATTGTTGTTTTCTATATATTGCATATTCTGTCTGCTCCATGTAATTTGGTGAAGGAAGGAAGGATGGATGGATATTACTAATTTTTTTTAATGATAGGGTTAAAAAAAAAAGAAAATTTACAGCTAAGACCAAGTGTAGAAATACGATAAATAGAATGAAAATAGAATGAAAAATGATATAACAGTGAGTAAATAGAATGATATAAATGACATAACAGTGCACACTATTATTTATCCAAATTGTTTCATAAAATTTGTGTTCCAGTCTAAAGAGGGAAGCAAATATTCAAGTTACAATAAAATAATTTGACTATATAAACCTAAATCTTAATAGCCATGGGAACTTCATTTAAGTTCCCATATAGGAGTCCCATGGCCAGGTTATTAAATCTGGCCGTAAAAAGGAAACTTAATTTTGATAGAGGAGTTAAAGAGCAGATATAAGTTGATTTCTGTATTTGCAGTTTGCATATTGCAGTTTCTGATATTCTCTTCCTGGTTCCCATAAGCTAATAGCGAAATTAGCAGAAAATTGGAAATTGTGGTTCAGTGAGGTCCTTGCTTAATAATCTGTGTAGTTCTTATTTAACAATGGCATTTGGGACTATTGGAACTGCTGACTCTAAGCAATATGGTTTGTGATATTGCACTTTATGGCCATGTCACTTTGCCATGACAATTCCAATTCAAATTGCTATCATTATTGTGTTTGGTCACCATTTTATATTTTATATATTAGGTACATTTTAATATTAGGAGTTTTGATTTACTGTTTGTTTGTCTATTGTATGCTGCACAAAATAACACTATTTGAGTTGGCCGGCAGTATAGATCTATTAAATGAATATAGTACATGCACTTTATGACCCTCTGTCCTGGAAGATCACATCTTGGTACTGAAAAGCCATTATTGGAGTCCATAAAACATAGAAGCTCAAGAAAGAATGGGATCCTTTAATGATTAGCAATAGCAATAGCAGTTAGACTTATATACTGCTTCATAGGGCTTTCAGCCCTCTCTAAGCGGTTTTCAGAGTCAGCATATGGAGAGGGCTGTGCTAACGAGATCTAAGGCACATATTCTAAATATTTTTTGAAGTTTGCAGTTTTTTTCTAGAAATGTATTTTCAGAAAATGGATTACGGTATATAAATTATAATATAATTGAATCTGGAATATTATTTATAGGTAGTGTTACATGCAGAAGTTCTCAATTATCTGGAATGACATTTCAAAGAAACCCAGCAGGATCTATAAGGTAAAATAAACTTTGCAGTGGGATTCAAAAAAGGTTATTTTTTTCTCATTTTGATGTTTAAGGCTTATTTCTGCTACCCAGAGCAGATGGTTTAATTGGCTTTGGTTTATTAAGATTTCTTGACAGAACTAGCATAGTGGGAAATTTTAGGCAATAAGTTTTATTAAAACAAGTTCAACCTATATTTTTTCTTTTATAATTACTGAATTAAATACAATTGCTGAATTAAATAGAATATTTTCTTCAACTATTAGCATCTTTCTTTTGGCTTATTTGAATTTATAGCAGTAAGTCCGCTGCATAGAAGAGACAATGTCTTAGAATCACTATATCTTCTAACAGGACTCTTCCCATTGTATCTATATTATCATTTCCTGAATAATAACATTTCTGAGTTACTCAGTTTGAAATAATGGAAAAAGTCCACTGCTACTGTAGTCAAAATGTGTATTCTACTTTCACTGTTATACAATGTTCTTGGTCATTTTATTACTAGATCATCTCCATTAAAAATGCTCAACAGTGGGAATTCTTACATATCACCATCGCCATTTGTATCATCACAAAACAGTAGAAATCATATCCCAAATACATTTGGACAGAAATCTACTCAGCATTATCAGTCCACATCTGCATCTTCGCTCTCATCTGGGATAAAACACCCAATCACTCTTGTTAACCTTTTACAGAGGCAGCATTTAGGTAGGTGAATTCCATGAAGAAGTAGAAATAATCCTAGCCAACATTAACTCGCTGCTTTGTGTAAAATATAATCTTTGGGACAATAGTAATGCTTTCTGATATTGACAAATGATGGTATCTTTGATTAAAAATACTGGATATTTATCTGGGCTTCAGCAGCATCATATTATATGTATGGCCCTTGTTTGTCCAGCGAAATATTCTTTTCCTCTTTTCCTCCCCATTCTGCAACCATTACACTTCCTCCAAATTTGCTTTGAAAGGTGTCCTAATCTTTTGGAACAGATTGGGAGGAGGGGACATGGGGGAATAACTGTTCTGCCAATGATGTTTGTTTGTTCTCCTTACTGTAGATGCAAACTTCAATGCAGTCATCTGCTGCTTCTGCAGCTAACTTATATTTATGGCTTTGCTTTACTAACCAAGATGCTAAGTAATAGTTATTGTTATGTACCCAAGTTTTTTAAAAAAAGAACCAAAGCTGCCACATAATAAAGATTTACAACTATGAAATTGCAGGATCCAATCTGAGGTGGTCACCATACCAGAGGTTTGTTCCTGGAGACTGAGAAATTCCCTGAGAATGGGTTCCAGCATGAGTCTGAAAGTTTGGAAAAACAAAGCTCTGATTCCGGGGACTGACCAGATTAGATCCTGTTGTAGGTCTCAGAAATCCAGCAGGTTTCCAAAATGTCTGTCTGCCTTACGCAGAGTTTATTTGGCTTTTATACATTTTCAACAAGCAAAGCAAGACCATAGGTAGCAACAGCATCTTATTGGTATATTCTCCTTGTCAATCTCTAAGACCATCCCAGCCAGGGTAGAATCTCACGTAACACAACAGTTCCTGGTAGTGCCTGACTCTACTAATTAGGTGAGCTCATAATAATCGGTTACTAAGATGCACATGTCTGTACATAACCTTTGTATAACCTCTGCATCCTGCAACATTATCCTGGGACACATATATTTGTCTTCATTCAACAGTTATGATTGTTTTATAAATCAGTTATTCATATAAACAGAAATAATTACATCATGTAAGATCTTGGAAGTATATGGTTGTCATAGATTCTGGTTCACAGAAATACACAAATTATTTTGAACTTGACTGATATATATAACTTTTGATGGGTTGTAAGAAGTGTTAACAGATGTTTTATGATAGCTAAACTATGCTCCTGCTCTAATACTTTGCCTATCTTTATAAATTAAATGATTTTGTGATAAATGTGGTTCATTAAGCATTTGCAGTTAAATGCCTGCCAATTTTATTTGCTTTTTGTCATTACTGTATCAAGGCAGTTTGATTACAATTAACTATGAGAGGGATCTTGGAATCCTAGTGGACAACCATTTAAATATGAGCCAGCAGTGTGCAGCACTGCCAAAAAAGCCAACACAGTTCTAGGCTGCATAAAAAAGAGGGATAGAATCAAGTGAATAAATGAAGGGTTAATACCACTTTATAATGCCTTGGTAAGGCCACACTTGGAATACTGCATTCAGTTTTGGT